AAATTCATTTGAAATTAATTTCAAATTCATGGATCATCAATGCATTAAATGGTGACATGAATGAGGATCCATCCATGGTGGTCGGCGGCTTCAAGAGGGAGGGATTTGGTGTGGGAGCAAGTAAATAGTTTCCAAATCGGCTCATGAGGTTTAGGAAGGATTAGAATAAAATTCGTTTGAATTTGAATTTCATCATGAAACGGATTTAAAAACTTTCCTAATTTGGAATTTCCAAAATTGGAAAGTTTTTGAAATTCAAAAATTGAATTTTCAAAATTGGAACACGTGGGGAATGGGGGAGGTGGCCGACGGTTGGGAGACCTCCTGACGGGTGGTGGTGGTGGGGTGGCCGGCGGCCAAGAGGGGACTAGGGCCAGCGGGTTGGGGAGAGGAAGGAGATTGGGATGATGGGGATAGACCACGAGTCACGGACTCTTTCAATGACTGGTGGGTATTGCTTTTCGCCCTCACCTTGGGCTCTCGTTCTCCTCTCTAGTGCACCACAAGAAGAAGAAGATGACAAAACAAATTTTCATTCCAAATATTCATTAACCTCAATACAACATATGAGACCACTATATATAGGTCTCAACTCATAAAAAGAGAAAGTACGAAATTGCCCTCTGGGCTACAATAACAAAGTAACTCCTCACAGGGGTAAAAATGGAAAGACTGCAGATAAAATAAAATAAACTAAAAAAATACATCATGACATCAAAAGTAGAAGCGCTGAATCGTGGTCGTCGATCTGCGGTTTCGCCGGCGATAAACATGTCGGTAGCGTCTGTCGATGTCCTCATCAGATCCCCTTATAGGTGCATGCCTTGATGAACAAAGATTACTAACTCAACAATAACTTACAAGTTATTTAATGCCCAATTTATTAGGCCTACAAATGGTCACGACTTCGTATAAAAAAAATTATTCTTACTTTTAATAAGCTTGTGCACATCAAAAGGGTAGTAAATTTATTCTTTTTGATATAAATTTGTGAGGTGATCATCTTATGTGGCTGAACTTACAGCTACATCTTTGCGAAGTAGATCTTGAGTGAGATTCTCGTTCGTAAATCTCAAATCTTTATAAGAATTATCATGAGCCTACTGATTGCTCTAGCTGGGAGTTTATAAAGCATAGCTCTTTTAATGGTGGATTTGTTTAATTCAGGACAATTTGACCTCTAATTCTATTGATTTAAGAATGATGAATTTGATTTTACTTCTTTGAGCTTGTTTATGAGGTGGATGCATCAATATGGGCAGTAGTTTGACTGAACCAAGCTAAACTTTAGCCTAATTCAATGTTGAATGGATGACTAAATATGCCTTAAAAATTAGACTTATTCAGGTTGGACGTCTACATACGAAAAAGTTGCACCTTTTTTTGGATGGCCATAAAAAAAAAATTAAACGTGCAACTTATTGCTTCAACGGAAGCTCCTGTTTACATGCATAGTTAGTGAAAGATCACAACGCAAGTTAAAACTCTCTTACCAATGCTTCTCGCAAGATATCAACATAAATATCCTCTCAGAATTTTAAATCAGGGTGTATCCTTATATCGTCAAAATCATCCCCGAACAAACTGAAAAAGCATGTGTAAAGTTTTTTGACCAGTTTTAGGGAAATCAAAATCCAAATATTGATTTTTGGATGAACAATCCGATTATTGGCCTATGTGAGCAAGCCCTACAAATTGACTTAAGCAAACAAGCTTGAGCATTGGCTATGATAATGGCCAAGTCTACAAAATCCCAAACTATTCATGAACTTGGTAATGCCAGTGTCAGGTTTGTAGGCTCATTGCCCGAGTGCAAGCCTTGAGCAAAAATCAAATTTCCAAACAATGCATAGGCTTGATCATGTGAGTGTTAGATCCGTAGGCCAATTTCTCGAATGCAAATCCTTGGCAAATGATTCATAGTTTAGCAAGTTGACTTGACTAGAAAATTTTAGGGAGAAAACTTCCTTATTTAGTTTCACCAAAGAAAGGACACCATAAATCTCAAAGAAAATATAATTATTTCCTTCATCCCAAAACTAACTACACATGATGAGATGGGGCCGTGGAGGTTATAATAACTCAAACTAGGTATGTAAGTTTTAATATTTTTGAAAGTAAAAAGGAGAACAATGATAACATTCAAGGCCCACACCACAATGAACCTTTCTTGCATGTACTATTAATATGCTAAAGGTTGGACTCCAAGTAACTCTCATCATATGGATAAGCATTGTTTGTAATGTAGTACTCTTTGACTACTCAGAGCACTCAACTACCTAACTTAGTTAGTTGCCCAACCCATGCTATCTTGAATCACTGAAGATCAGTCATTCATGAGCTTCCAACCCTAGGCAATGAGCACTACTCAGGAAAACTTAATTGGTGATCGTTGATTGATGCTTTCATGATGATCTATACAAGATCCCACTATAGGTGCATGCCAAAGATCACTACACCAACAATAACTTCCAAATTATTTAATGTCCCATTTATTAAACCTATCAATGGTCACATGGGATGCTACCAATTAGAATCTTCTCCTATAAAAAAAATATTATTACTTTTAATAAGCTTGTGCATGGTAAAAGGGTAATAAATTCATTATTTTTTATATAAATTTGCGAGATGATCCTCTTATGTTGCTGAACTTAGAGCTACGTCTCTGCGAAGTAGATCTTTGACTGAGATTCTCCTTAAATCTCAAATATTAATAAGAATTATCGTAAGTCTACTTGTTGCTCGAGCAGAGAGTCGATAATTATCGTAAGCCTACTTGTTGCTCGAGCAGAGAGTCGATAGGGCATAGCCTCGTAAATGTTGGATTTGTTTAATTCAATACTATTTGAGCTCTAATTCTATTGATTTAAAATTGATGAATTGGATTTTACTTCTTTGAGCTGGTTTATCAGGTGGTTGAGTCAATATGGGCAGTAGTTTGATAAATCCAAGCCAAACTAAAGCCTAATTCAACGTCGAATGAGTGACTAAATATGCTTTAAAAATTATTCTTATTTAGGTAGGATGTCTAGATACCTAAAACTTGCACCTTTTTTGGATGGCCATAAAAAAACCAAGAGTGCCACTTATTGCTTCAACATAAGCAACCTGTTTACATGAGTAGTTAGTGAAAGATCACAACGCAAGTCAAAACTCTCCCAACCATAACCTCTCGTAGGATATCAACATAAACATCCTCTCAGGATTATAAACTAGGGTTGATCTTCATACCGTCAAAATTATCACCCAACAAACTAAAAAGGTTAGTGTAAAGTCTAGCCCAGTGTTTGGAAAATCAAAATCCAAATATTGACCCAGATGGACAATCTGATTATTGATGTATGTGAACAAGCCCTAGAAAATTACCTAAGCAAACTAGCTTGAGCATTGACAATGTAATGGCCCATTCTACAAATTCCCAAACTATACATGGGCTTGGTCATGTGAGTGTCGGGTTTGTAGGCCAATTGCTCTGAGTGCAAGCCCTGAGTAAAAATCAAATTTCCAGGCAATGCATTGGTTTGATCATATATCCCTAGGCCAATTGCCTGAGTGCGAACCCTGATCAAAATTTTTATCGCTCAAAGGGGGTATTTCATAAAGCATCTTCTTTCAAAAAAATATTTAAGGATTATCATTTTCACTCCCTTTCCTCTTTATTACCTTGGCCTCCCCCCCTCTTCAAAAAACTGCTCATGCATAGATATTGGCATCTATGGGATGAGTGTTAAGAGGATGAATAAATACGTAGTTTTTTCATATGTGGTTCTTGCACTTTAACTGTTTATTATAATTACTAACGCATCATAAGTCTTTCTTGGACAAAAAACCTTTAGATTTTGTGTTGAATGCATGTTTCTTAGATGTTGGTTCGCATGATAGACTTTTGATTATTTTAGCTTAGAGGTGATCGACCATAGAGTTCTGTTGTCATGTTACTTTGATTTAGTTGACACTTCTTAGTGAATGCAATGATGCTCATAATAATATGTTTTGATTACCTTGCAGATGATGAAAATTTAGATATAGATAATGAAGATATCATGAAGTTGGTGCCACCACTTTTTGCTCGCAAGGACAAACCAGAGAGGATTATGTAAGACACTTTTTTGTTTTCACAAAAATTTCTACTCTTTTTAATCTTATTGTATACTAGTTGTACCACATTGAGCAGCTTTATGATTTTTCATGAAAATATTAGTAAGAAATCATTGAAAGTCTTAACTATGTTTTCTCTGAATTATTTTTGCTTTGAATGGTTGTAGACCATGTTCTCCAAATTTGCTATGCTTATATTCGAAAGATTAATGAGATTATTCCTATGAGCTTTTATATATATATATAAAATTTTGGTTCTTCTGAATTAAGGACTTTCTGCTTGTAGAGGTTCTTCTTTAGCAATCATTATATTTAATATTTAATAGTTCTTTTCTTCTGTAACAAGGATTGATTATTATTATTATTATATTCAAATTGGGCCTATGATGAGAAGGAATTGAATTTTGAAAATTAAATTAAATTTGCCTAAGATCGATTCCCTTCTTTTTCCTTGAGCTACTCTTATTTTTCTATTCTATAAAGTCTTCTCTTTATCTTTCTCTCTTATAGATATTTCTTTTCCCTATTTTTCATATTTCTCAGAGATCATTCTCCTTTGGCTTCCCTGATCTACTTCTTGTTGTTCCATATCAGTTGGTATGAGAGTATCCATCATTACTTTTACCTTTGAGATTAATTATTTCTTCTCACTTTATTGGAGAACATTGATCCTATGTTCTAATACCCACTCCCCCTTTTAACTCTGTCATTTCGTATTAGGTTAAAATTTTATTTACAACTTACAAGCCAATATATTTATTCACTTATTTTATTTGTTATTACTTTTATTTTGTATTAACTTGTCTAAAATACTTTAGGATTGCTTTGAAGTAGGATAACTTGTTTACTTAAACATGGGAGAGTTGTGCATACATAATTTTATTGTTTCATTAGTCAAGGACATTTTTATTATAAAATATTTTGAACTTTTCAAGTTTTTTTTTATCAAATTTTTCTTTGTTTTATGTCATTGAACAAGGTTGCCAGCATTTTATGCTTGCTTAAAGTTATGTTTTGTGGCTTCTGTTTGGTTATTAGGCTGAATCCACCTGCTAATTTAGTATCGGAAAGTTTGCAAAAAGGAGCTGTTGAATATTCTTGGGAGGTAAGTTTTTTCTTCAGTATATGTTATTGCATGTTGAATTTTATTGACTGCGGTTTATTCTATCATTGATCAGCCCTGTCAATGTGGTGTTATTCTTCAAACTTTGAATGAGATCTCATTTTGTCACAGTATGCACTTTTCTTTCTTTTAAATTGTTTTATTATTTTATTTATTTATGCTATTAATACAATGACAATATATTTTAATAAACCATTGAAAATTATACATAAAGTCTGAAACTTTGTTATCATTTTGTTGAAAGGGGAATCATAATCTCTAGTATTCGAAAGTTTTTCATTTTCCAAAAGTTTGCAAAGAGGTAAGTTTTTTCTTAAAATATCATTATTTATAACATTCAAATTTCCTCTGAAATCCTTTTGGTTGGTCACTTCAATGATGGACAGATGAATGTTTGTATAAAATTGAAAGACTCTCTTAAAAGGCTTGGCCGAACTTACATAGAATTATTTATGTATTATTTTTTTGTTTCTTTTCTATATAAACTCTTCATGTACTCTCAGAATAGATTAATTATTGAGTCATTTTTGCTTGTGAGAAAAGTATGGTGAAGCTTGATAGCCAATACAACCTATGGAACATTGGTGAGTTTAAAATTTATCTTATGTGTTTATTCTCCCTTCCTCTACTACAGCTGACAACCCCTTCCCACACACCAAATCCCAAGTCCTCTTTTGTTTGGCTTACCTCTTTCCATGAAGCCCTAATTCACTTTCAAGTCTTCAACTAGCCTCCACACTTTCCTCCATACATCATAAACCCTTAAACAACCATCTACCCTGCTTAACTATGTCTAGAACAAGCCCTATCGAAGCCCTCAGTCATCACGACCCCACAAAATGATTCCTCTTATTGTTCTCAACTAAACCCTTAGTCCCATCACTACTCAACCTTTGATAGCACCCAATCACAATCCTAGTGTCCTTCATACCACTACAAAAAACAACGCCAATAATAGTGAGTTCCTTCTCCTTCAAGATCCTCCCGCCAGAAACAATCATGTTGTTTTTCAGTCTTATGACTCCAATATTATTGTACGTTAGTTTCGTAACCTTTCAATTAACATTTTTTGTTGGGTATTGTGAAAATGGAAATTGTATCAATATCATTTGTATTTAACCATGTTCTTGACCGTGAATGCTAGAATATATTTATAATTTCATCATCTTAATTTTCCTATTTATTGCTGGAAATAAAAAATGTACATATTTTTAGAATTTGTATATATTTTACACTTTCTTGCATAATGTCTCGGAAACTTTGCTGATTCATCTTATATATTTTCATGTTTCAGATGGATATTAAGCCTTGCCATGCTATTCCTTTCAGCATTCATAATATCCTTGTAACGTGGTTTGTAAAATCATCTCTTGCATTGTTGCACAATTGAGATATTTTCTTTCTTTGTTATGCTTAAGTTTTATAAAGATTCCAGAAAAGATTAATTGGGAAGATAAACTTCCAAAAAGCACCCCTGAGTGGGAAGCACAAATGGCTGTGTCCAAATTATTCGAAGAACGTCCTATCTGGCCTAGATGGTCGCTGCATGAACGTTTGCTTGATGATGGTCGAGAAGTTACTGAATATTTGCTGAGAAGGTTGTCTTTCAATTCTTTCTTTCCCTGCTTTCTGTCTTCATTTTGTTTCAAACTAGATTGCTACCAGCACCTTTTTTGGGTTATGCTGCTGAAGATAATGATTTTTTAACCCCACACAGGCTTTTATTCAGAACTGGGTACTACTTTTCTCGTGGCCCATTTGGTCGATTTTGGATTAGAAAAGGATATGATCCTCGTGAAAATTCTGAATCCCGAATGTAAGGAGATTCTTTACAGTCTATTTTACATACTTTTACTTTTTAAAAGAATTTTACAAATTTAGAAGGTAAAAATAATGTTAACTTTAAATTGGGAGTGGGTATGATTTTTTTTTGCCACTTATTTGGTTGATTTTGGACTCGAAATGGCTATGATTCTCATTGAATCCTTGATCCCAATTGCAATGTTATTTCATTAAATCTTCCTAAGTTGCATTCTTACCTTTTTTTGTTGAATTTCCTGTATTCTAAAATAGTAATAGAATGTGAACTATTCAGTTTTCAAAAGTTACTCAGATCTTCTAAGACAATGAGGATTTTTTCCCCCGAGTATGTAATATAGGAAAATCTTCTTAGTTTCATCAAGTTCCTTATCTAAAAGCTTATAACTAAAGAAATATGTAGCCCAAACATTATGTGTATATATGTGTGTGTGTGTAAAGAGACTCAGGGTTCAGTCCATCTAGTGTCAATTTAAAATTTTCTTCTCAGTTTCCATCATCCATATATTTTGTTTCAAAGCTTTTAAATTAATAATCAAACCGTTCATCTCATATTCACACATATTTGGATGATATTTGATCAAATTACATGATCACATCATTTTGGATTAATGGTAAGCAACAACCTAGGTTGTCAGGTGTTATATTCTTTAATTTTGAAATCAGTATATTTAAAAACTTTGTTGTACTTGAATTGATTTATATTCAGAAAATCTGGCATCCAATAGCTTCTCCTAATCCCAAATGCTAACACTGACTTCTAATGCAAAGCAAAGAAATTGCAAGATCGTCAACAAGCTTTGAATAAAATAGATAAATGTATAAAAATAATCATGGAGGAGTAAAGGAACCAAGTAACCAACTTAAAAACGATGAAGGAACAAAATTGCATAGTAGTCGACAAGTAGAGGAGTCAAGAAGAAGAGGAGAAATGAAGAATAGAATAAGCCACCCTAGCCATCCAAATATGCTGCTTTAAATGCTTTCAACGGTTCACCTTCTTATAATGAATCCATAAGTTTTTGGTAGTTGGGATTTTTGAAGATTTTGTAAGCATTTGGTCGTTTCAAAGTGAAAATTGTAGATGTTGGAGAGGAAAGAACAATTATGATTGTTGAAAGAGTCTGAAAGAATCGAAGAAGATAAGCTTATGGAAAAGGAAAGTTGTCAGAGTGAAAAAGAAGAACAACTACGGTATATACGAAGAGTCAAAGATTCAATATATACGAAAAGTTGAAGATTAGAGGAATACCCTGATGATGCGAATTCGGTATATAATAGTCATGTGATTAATAGAAGCTTATGTACCGACTCTTTCAAAAATCTTCTTCACGAAGAAGTCTACCGTAGAGCCCATCGTGATTCTTGATCTGAGAGGAACATCTTTGATGAAGGCGAATATTCTTTTTTCAAAACACTTTTTCACGTGAAGTCAAAGAGGTGGAGAATAGAGCATTTCTAGAATACAAAGGGTCACTTGTAGGGTTTAGATTTATTTATTTATTTATAATTATAAAGGATATTCTTTATAGTACCTTGGTGTATGCTTTTTGCTGATGATATTCTTCTTGTTGATAAGACTAGAGAGGGAGTTGAAGGTAAACTTGAATTATGGAGGTCAACCTTAGAGTCTAAAGGTTTTCGCTTGAATAGATCTAAAACGGAATATATGGAGTGTAATTTTAGTAGTAATAGACCTAGTGAGGGGATTATGACTTTGGCCGATCAAGTCATTAATAAGAGTACTCGTTTTAGATATCTTGGATCTATTGTTCAGAGTGATGGTGAAATAGATGGGGATATTATCAGCAGAATTCAAGTTGGATGGTTGAAGTGGAGGAGTGCATCGGGCTTGTTATGTGATAGAAATGTATCCCTCAAACTTAAGGGAAAATTCTATAAGATGGTAGTGAGGCCTGCAATGCTTTATGGTGCCGAATGTTGGCCATTAAAAGAGAAGCATAATACTAAGTTAAGTGTGGCAGAGATGAGGATGCTCATGTGGATGAGTGGCTTTACCCTTAGAGATAAAATACGAAATGAGCATATACGTGAAAAGGTTGGAGTATCTCCAGTAGAAGATAAGATTAGAGAGAGTCGCCTTAGATGGTTTGGTCACATAAAAAGGTGGCCTTCCGATGACCCGGTTAGGAGAGTAGAGGTATTAGATTTGACTTGTATTAAGAAAGGTAGGGGTAGACCTAAAAAGACTTGGTTAGAAAATATTAGGAATGACCTTTCTTTATTAGATTTAAATAAGAATTTGACTTTTAATAGGACTCAATGGAGAAAAAGGATTCATGTAGCCGACCCCACGTAGTGGGATAAAGGCTTGATGTTGTTGTTGTTATAATTATAAAGGATATATGTAATGAGATTTTATTTAGGAAAAATCACAAGCCGCACTTACATAGTAGTATAGATGTGATTATGCCTTGACATGCAAATCCTGCATCACCATAAGTTATAAATACTTGGTTGCTTTACTATTTGGTTCTTATCAGTATAGGACTTCATTCTGTCAATGTTTCCATCACCAGAGTCATTGAGCGTTTTTTTTTTAAATCTAGATATTCAGTTTTTAAAATCCTCAGCAAGCGAAAGGAGATGTGGAATCACTCGAGGGAAAGTTGTTTAGGTGTTGTTAATTGGTTCAAATTTTGCACTTGTGCCGAGAGTATATTCATAGGCTCACATGTTTGAATCTATTGTATTCCTGCATATGTACATTTATGTATCCACAGATATGTCTGTTCAGGTTTATATTTGTCTTTCTTTTTGTGTGATGCATGCATGAATGCATTTATGTATACAGGCATGCTTAATAGAAGTATGTATTCACATACACACTTCAATTGATTTAGCAAGTTTCTGAATAAAAATTAAATTCTTTAAGTTGAATGCTTCCTATTAGCAGACGTATATAATCTTGATGATGAACTAATCGTTTTTACTATTTATTTCTGGCTCTCTATGGTCTTCTTGATTCTGTTAAGGCATACCATTGCTTGATTAATTTGTGTGCATTTTTCTTTGCTGTTCATGCTAAAGCATAACTGTGTTTGCATATAACATATGCAGAAAGAATGACATGGAGTTATGCTTGGAATTCCGTTAAGTATTTAACATTCGGTCAATTGATTCTTACTTGTATTAATTTGATTAGTTAGTAATTTTCACTTTCAAATGATTGTTCAAGCTCTTGCAAAGGGCATTCCACATCTTTGCTTTCATAGTTTCATTCTCTTATAGCATTATGATCCATCTTTAAGGGATCAGGCTTTTCTTATTGCTTAAATAGTTCTACGCATTTATGATCTGATTTATTTATTTAATTTGTTTCGAAAAAAAAAATAATATTTACTTAACTAGGCATTTTCCTGTAGGACTGCTTAATATTAGCATTTTCTCATTGTTTACATCTTTACTTTCTTAGTTTCATTGCTACATTCTCTTATAGCATTATGATCCTTTTTTAAACGGATCAGGCTTTATTACTTGAATAATTCTACGCATTTTTCATCTATTCAAAACCTTGAAGTATCTTAAGCTGACTTGATTTCTTTCATTTGTTTAGGAAAAAGAAATATTTTTTAATGTATACTTAACTTATCATTTTCCTGTTCTGGTTAATTTTAGCATTTTCTCATTGTTTGCTAGCAGATACCAGAAGGTGGATTTTCGGATGCCGCCTAATTTGAGAAATCTTGAAGATGTGAATGCAAACTCCACGTGAGTGTATTTTTTTGTTTCTAAATCATGGCTTAGTACTGCATTTTTGTGTGATTCTTGTTGTTTGGTTCTCAGTATAAATATGCCTCACGTAGTGGGATAAAAGTTTGATGATGTTGTTGTTGTTCTCCGTATAAATATGCCTCATGTAGTGGGATAAAAGCTTGATGTTGTTGTTATTCTCTATATAAATATGCCTATGATACACTGACACTTCTCTCCAATGAGGTATGTAGTGTTCGACACGTATTGGATACGACATGCGTTCGACGCACCTCCGACACATATCAGACACACCTAAGACATTTTTGATTAATAAGCATTAAAAATAAACTGGACACACTTGTCTTAATATTTTATTAATTTTTTAAATATAATTTATTATATTTCAAATTTTTATTTATTGATAAATAAAAACTAAATATCTTATTTTCTCTCAACAGCCCCAAATCAATTGCTCGCACTCAATACCTCATTCCTCAAATATTCACGTTTTAATATCTCTCTGACGGATCGCGGCTAGGGTTTCACAACAACAGTTGATGCCATTGTAACATCGACGTCCGACGCTGTCATAACATCCATGTTTCAAACCATCTCAAAATTAAACTTTGACACAGGCAATTTCTACACCCACAATCGCACCCTCACGCCATCTCGACATTCATCTTTGTCTAACCTCGTCTAAGCATAGATAAACGATGTCGTCTTGACATCATCGCTCGATGTCCATTACTAATTTGTACCATTATAGCATCTCATTCAGCATTTAATTCAATAAAAATTTATAAATAAGTTAACTTTATCAAACCTTTTGAATAGTGATGCATCTTTGTGGCATTCTATTTTTTCTGAATTGATAATGATGCATCTCTTGCCAAAGGCTTTGTAATAAGTTCCAAGTATTTTGTGATGGATCATTTCCCTTGCTTTGTAGTCATGATCATTATTTTGATCTCATGGATTTGAGCTAGATCATGGGCTTCAAAATATGTTTGATTTGCTGTATCTCCATTTTTTTGGTTGAATGATGAAATATATGTGTTACTTATTTCAAGAACCATAGAATTCCATACCAAGACATCACCAATGTGTCTAAGTAATGAATGTGTGTCACTTTACTAAGGTCCGATGCCTGGTGAATGGCCCAATTTTGCTCGTCCACTCAAGAGGGTGCAAAACAATTGTGACTATTTCAGATAAATTTTTTCATTCAAAAGATATGATGAATTAATGCTTTTGAAATTCTCTCGTTGGATTTGGATTGTCAGTTCTGGTTCCAAGTGAACTCAAGACTAAAGGAATTTGAGTATTTTTTTATTCATGAGATGAAATCATGAAAATTGTGATAATAATTGATTGAAAAGAGAAGGAATGATAGAGATAATAGTGCAGTGATAAAGTATACAAATAAATTGAGGAGGAATGAAAAGATACCCGTACAACGAAGCCTGGCAAGTTTTCTTTAGCTAAGTTTTGAAATCTTTTTGAGCGCCTCTTTTTTGAAAGAACTAATTCCAATTAGTTCTTCCACTAAAGGGAGTAAAAAGTATTTGCATTCTGGGCAAGTTTCTTCTGCTGCTATGGCAGTATAGAGTTATCAATCTATACTATCATGAAATGATTGCCCTTGTATAAGGTTAATAAATTCCTTGATTTTTTTTTAAGACTTTTGGAGGTTTCTTCTTTCTGAACTATGAGACTAGTTGATCTTTTAAGAATGAAATTACAACACTTCTTCTTGTAGACTGAAGGCCTTATTAAAAAAAAAATTCTTAGAAATTTTGATGTTGAATTCATTCAATAGGAGCATTACTGGTCCATAAATATTTTTTAATAAAATATCTTTGGTGTGTTGCTTTTACGATTGTGGCTTGGATTTCTTGATCAAGTTCCTCTATCAGAGGATATAGTTAACCAGTCTCGTTCGGCTTCTGCTTTTCCACCACCAAATATCCTATGATGACATGGTATTGGGCCCTAAGAGACTTCTTACTAAATCAAATTTTTAGTTCTATAAAAGTTTGGACTAACAACCTTTTTTTTTCACTTTCTCAAAATTTTTTCCACTTTCTTGTTCGGTTTTCAAATCAAAATACACTGTTCGTACATTTTCCAGGCAAAAATGCTGATCTTGTGTTATAACTTATATGAAACGATTAAATTATATCCAATACTAATTGTGAATATCAAGGCTATCTTGTGTGATGAAGAGAGAATGTTACATGAACATTCTACGTGACCATCCAAGATTTATGACCAAGTATATTAAATGGCCATCAACCAAAAAGTTCATTTAAGTCGAATTATTTTCAAGATAGGCTAAATTTATCCTCTCAAGGCTCTTTTGCTTGCACCTCAGGTGACTTCTTTGATGGCTTATTTTGGCCTACTCTGGTTGGTAGCTTTTGCTACCCTTCTTTGATATTGGTTTTTTAGTGGGTTCTCTATTAAATTTTTCTTGTGTTTTCTTGATTATATACTTCTCCATTGGTTGTGTCGTCTGTCTCATGCTATTAGCAATCTTCTATTGTGATATTTATGGTGCTTCGACAACCACCTTTTCAATATTTATGGTTGGGAGTAGAATCAATATCCTTTTTATTGCATTCTTTCTGGGGTGTTTGGAAATCTTCCAGTGACATGCTTCACTATTGTGACTATGATCAATTTGACGAATTTTATACTTTGTAATAGTTACTTTGATATTGATTCCCTTTTTTGTCTAGTGGAAATTTCAATGGGTTGTGTTAGATAGTCGATAGCAAGCGTAAAACTTGTTGAATAATTTTTTGTTTAAGTAGATCTAAGATCGAATGCATGGAGTGTAAATTTAGTAATTATAGATCTAGTGGGGGAATGTGAGTTTGGGTGATCAATTATTAATAATAGTACATGTTTTAGATAGCTCGGGTCTATTGTTAAGAATAATGTTGAAATCGATGGGGATATTATTAGTAGAATTCAAGTTGGATGGTTGAAGTGGATGAATACGTCAAGCCTGTTGTGTGATAGAAAAGTATCCCTCAAAATCTATAAGATGGCGGTGAGACATGCAATGCTTTATGGCGAAGAATGTTGTCCATTAAAAAAGAAGCATAAGATTAAGTTTAGTGTTGCAGAGATATGCATGCTTAGGTGGATGAGTGATTTTACTCTTAGAGATAGAATGTGAATCAAGCATATATGTGAAAAGGTTGGAGTAGCATTAGTGGCATATATGATTAGACAAAGTCACCTTAAATGGTTTGGTCACATAAAATGTCAGCCTTCAAATGATCCTGTTAGGAGAATAGATATATTAGATTTGCTTATATTAAGAAAAGGTGGAGGTATACCTAAGAAGACTTGGTTAGAAAATATTAGATTTAAAAGAGGGTTTGATTCTAAACATGGCATAATGGAGAAAAATGATTCATGTTGCTTACCCGACGTAGTGGGATAAAGGCTTGATGTTGTTGTTATTGTTGAAAATTTCAGTATAAATAGGTAAATTTGATCAATTTAGGTCTATAAAATTACTTTTTTGGATGTGTCGTGTCTACTTTAGGCAATTCCTGGTCAAATGAGAGATTTGAATATTCTTGGAGAAATTCTCTCCTTCCTTTTGGTTAATTTTTTCCTCTCTACTTTATCTTTGCTCTATATTTTATCATTGGAAAGATTTGTGTGAATGATTTTACTCAAATTTGATACAACTCTGATTTAAAGAAGTTTGTGGATTTCAACTCATTGTGTGACCTTCATGGTTTTGAATTTCTATTCGTTATTTCTTAGAGACGACCATTGGATTTTTATTTGAGTTGATTTCTTTTATATTCTTAATTTTCATTGTGAGTAGCGAATAATTGTCAGAATATTAAGAGTTTGTAACTTCCGAATTGTGTGATTACATGAATTTTTTAGCTTAATGCATTAGAAATCTTAGACTCTATGGTATCTTACATCACAATAATTGTAACTTTTAGATTCACGTCTATTTACTCCTGGAACTAACTTTGGAAGAGCGTTGCAATATGTTAGAAAATGTTGGAATTAAGTTTGTTAGTTAAAATTTTTCACTTTTTTATTTGATACTATTGTCACTATGAATCGTATAAGCTTAACCTGCCTATTTTGGTAGTTTCAGCAGTTTTTACTAATCATAAAGCATTTTTTTGGTATTAGGTTGAAGCATAAATGGAATGATATATGCAAATTTAAAGTATGGCCCTCCAAAGCTTCTAATTGTTTACAGTTATTTGAACTTGATGATGATTATATTCGTCAAGAGATTGAAAAAGCTGCAACTATGACAACTTGCTCGGTGAGTCGTCCTAATTTATTTGCTGTTTGGCTGTGTAAAACTTGGTGTAATGTATTTACACGTAAAATAATTTTCTTCAATGTTTTCTGTTAAGTTAATTATGTTAGGCCATTTCTTTACAAATCTGATGCAAAATAGATGCAATCAAATTGGTCACATTTACTTTGCAGTTTTCAAACACGCAATACTTTCTCCTTAGATGCAAGGATCTATATTTACACGGAACATAGAACTTTTCGCATCAATTACATTCTTACTGTCAATTACATTCTCCCAATCCCCACAACTATTCTTTTCTTTTTGCGTCAGTTAAATTTTTACTGGGTATATTTAGAGATAAATCAATATCTTTTAGCAAAACACAAGGACATATAAATATCAATATCTTTTAGTTCAATTATCACTAAAATAGACATCAAACTATTAACTAAAAGGTATTGAATTTAAATTTTGCATATATCATATGTACAAATTTATCTTAATTGATCTAAATGTCAATATATATATATATATATATATATATATATATATTCTAATGATAATGAATTAGCCAAACATATGGACATATAAATATCAATATATTTTTGTTCACTAAAATAGATATCAAACCCTCCTTTCTACTCTTTTTTTTTTCAAAGTATGTTAATTCATAATATGCAAATATTTTTTTCAATTCATTGTGAGCACCAGATTATTTTACATGGAAATTACTTTAATTTGATTGTTTCAGAACTATGATTCTTCAATAAATATCAATATCTTTTAGTTCAATTGTCGCTAAAATAGACATCAAAACCTCCTTTCTACTTTTTTTTTTCAAAGTATGTTAATTCATAATATGCGAATATTTTTTCAATTCATTGTGAGCACCACATTGTTTTACATGGTAATTACTTTAATTTAATGGTTTAAAAACTATCATTCTTCAATTACTAAAATTAGGTAAGGACTAGATTATTTAATGGTTTCAGAATAAGAATTGGATCTCCTAAATTGGGTAGCATCCAAGTCATATAATTATTGTCTTCCTAAAATAACATTTGTAACATCCACGAGTAAAATATTAAACCATATTTTTTCAATATAGGTAGCAAGCTGATTGAGAAAGGCTTGTTGTTGTTGTTGTTGTAGGTAGCAAGCTGATTGAGAACGAAACATTGTGTCACAAAAATAACAGTTTTATGTACCTAGGCTACCTTATATAATTGTTTTATGCGATTCAGGTTTCAAGTTCACGCAATTAATTGTAAAGTTTGCCATAACATTCGTATAATGTACACTACAACAACAACATCAAGCCTTTATCCCACTATGTGGGGTCAACATTCATAGCGTACACTATCTATTATAATTTTCATATTATCTTATCATGTGTTGAATAGTTTTGAAATATTAAAATTCTTTTCCAGTTAGATTCAACCTTAGGTATAGCAATGATTCTTGTAAAATGTGTAAAGAATTTTCATTCAAAACATCTTTAAAATCACTTTTCTCTTCATTAAATTCATGCTTATCATTATCATTATTAATTTTAGTGTCATCCCTCTTACATTAATTTGGCAATTGTAAAGTTCCTACTAGGATACTCAATAGCATAATAGTGAATTTGACAATTAAAATATTTTTGGCAAAAATTTTAGCTCTAGATGTTGTAGGAGTATATTTTTTTTTAGTGTCTATTAATAGTGCTGCTATTATTTTTAGATATAGTGGGTATGATAGATGGAATTTGACTCTTTTGATGAAAAGATGAACGTTCAATATACTTAGTAACTCCTAGGTTAAAATTTTTAACATTTTCTCTTAATCTAATGGAATGTGATATGGTGTTATTTATCTCTTGATATCCAACATGAAACTAGCTCTAAACCTAGAAAGTGTACTTTCAGGATCCGCATATATTTCAAAATGCAATAACAATTCTTGAAATTTGTTTGTGTATCTGGTTACAATTTTTAACCCATATTTATAGAATTAAATTCATGTAGTAGTTGGTCACCACATGACAAGCATTCCACTTTTAGTACTCATTTCATTTCAGGCCAAGTAGTTGTAAATTCACTTCCTAATCTTTCTTTGTTTTCACATACTCAGCTAATACATTATTGTCTTTCCAAGTTTTTATTTATTTTATTTATTTATTTATTTTTTTGGGCAAGTTGAGCACTTGACCTTAACCCATTAGAATTCTCAAAACATTTTTCAACTTAGTGTTTGACATTTTAAAATACCCCAAGTCATTTTAATCTTGCAAATCTCATTTGTGCTCACCCAATATTGTGTCATTCATATAAATTATCCATGTTTATTGTCCTACAAAAAAAAAAAATTAGTATTCATTTTTACTTCAAAAATAGGTGCTTCGGTTGTAACTTTCTTTTGTTGTATTCATTTACTCAAGAATCTTGATGTCTGTGATTCTCATAAACCTAGTTTTGTTAACATTCAACTGAATTAAATTCAACTTTAGGTTCATTTGCATGAAATTGATTAATTTTTAATTGTCAATTCACCCATGTCTTGGTTAATTTCATTATTTATTTGATTTTTTTTATTTAACAATTCATCTCATATTGTTCATAGTCAGAATCACATACCTTTGATGATATGTAAATGTGACCTTAACATTGCGTTTCACTTTTAGTTGATATATTTGCAGAACACTATGCTCTTTATCAATCTAATGCAAAACATTTTAGAGTCCAGGATTGCTAATGTAACTAAATGATGTAGTGTATGAAAATCACAAAAATAAAATTTGAACTTTCTATATGAAAGATTAATAATTAAAACAAGCACACTTTTTTTAATATGTGAACCAGAAAATATAAGAAATATGGGTCTACTGATAATTTAATGATTGTCTAAATAAAAAAACTTTAATGAGGAAATCAAAACCAACACAACTCAATCAAGGATTTTCGCCAGAATAAGAAAACAATTTGTAACTAGTTTGGCTAAAATCAAGCATACTCACAAGTTAATATTGAATCTTATGGATGAAAAGATCAAAATAGAAGAGATCCCGGAACACAAAAGTTGAAGTTCACACCTATATAGAGATGATTTCCTCAACAAATTAACGATCACTTTTGCACCACACTATACAAGAACATCCAGCGAATCATACAAAAATTAAGAAAAGTTTAAAATTTCATTAATGAATGGTTTCATAACATGACCAGAATTTTCTACTTATAAATATCAAAACCTTCAATCTCTGGAATTTCTCTTGGAACTAACTCGTGGAGAAATTTGGAACTCCAGTTGGAGCATGGCCCAACAATGTCAGGACTAGCTGAGGCGAATCATGGAATGGTATAGATGCAGGTGCAAAGGATAAGCATGGAAAAATTGGGTCTCCTAAACTACTGGAACTATCAATGAAGACTGAATAGAGAGAGAATAAGCATGTATCAGCAGCTACATGGAAGCTACAGGAAAAGCTTTGCTACAGCTGCCACTTTAAATAGCAACCAATAGAAACCAGCACTTGACTGATAACGCCAAACTTCAAAGATCAAACTAGTGAACCGGTTGGCTGTACCAAAGCAAGACAATTGAACTGGACCATGGGTCTCAGAATATTGGACAACACATCCTGTATTTATCGGCATCATTATAGGCATGTTTATAAAGTAAAATAAAAGTAGAACTACCAAATAAAAAACAACTAAGATGAATACTTAAATCAACAAATTGTTAATTTTCTTTTCTAGTGCAGAAGATTTACATTTTCTTCAAATATAAAGCTTCGTGTTCCATCGCATATTTGTTTTTTTCTGTGTGAAGCAAAAGATCAGATAACTAAATGGGTTCAAATCCAATCCAAAAATGAACAAACTCTATTGTGTTTCTCTGAATTGGGACATACTTAAGATTCATGTGGATGATAATTATCATGTGATATTTACAACAACTGTGGACTGTTCTTGTGATATTTCAGTTCTCACTAGACATTTGCAAGAGGATGTACCTTGTTGTATGCTTTTTGCTGATGATATTCTTCTTGTTGATAAGACTAGAGAGGGAGTTGAAAGTAAACTTGAATTATGGAGGTCAACATTAGAGACTAAAGGTTTTCGCTTGAGTAGATCTAAAACGGAATATATGGAGTGTAATTTTAGTAGTAATAGACCTATTGGGGGGATTGTGACTTTGGGCGATCAAGTCATTAATAAGAGTACACGTTTTAGATATCTTGGATCTATTGTTCAGAGTGATGGTGAAATTGAAGGAGATATTATCAGCAGAATTCAAGTTGGATGGTTGAAGTGGAGGAGTGCATCGGGCTTGTTGTGTGATAGAAAAGTACACCTCAAACTTAAGAGAAAATTCTATAAGATGGTAGTGAGGCTTGCAATGCTTTATGGTGCTGAATGTTGGCCATTAAAAGAGAAGCATAATACTAAGTTAAGTGTGGCAGAGATAGGATGCTCAGGTGGATGAGTGGCTTTACCCTTAGAGATAGGATACGAAATGAGCATATACGTGAAAAGGTTGGAGTAGCTCCAGTAGAAGATTAGATTGGAGAGAGTCGCCTTAGATGGTTTGGTCATAGGGCCTTCCAATGACCCGGTTAGGAGAGTAGAGGTATTAGATTTGACTTATGTTAAGAAAGGTAGAGGCAGACCTAAAAAGACTTGCTTAGAAAATATTAGGAATGACCTTTCTTTATTAGATTATTTAAACGAGAATTTGACCTTTAATAAGACACAATGGAGAAAAAGGATTCATGTAGTCGACCCCATGTAGTGGGATAAAGGCTTGAAGTTGTTGTTGTTGTTGATTGTTCTTGTGATATGTGGCTTGAAAGTTGGGTTCTTCAGTTTTACGTGGTAAATTTGTATTTATAAGCTACCTTTTCTTTCAGTTGATATCAGGCTTTATCTAACTTTTCTTTGGAATTTGACACTATTGTACATATTTATGTCTGCAGCCTTTGACGGGATGGTTCTCTGAGGCGACTCTTAAGGCCTTAAGATTACATGTGATGATAAGATTCATGGAAATAACTCCTAAGGGAGTTCCAGAGCAATTCCTGAAGTCCAAAATTGAACACTTCAAACGTTGCAGGAAAAAGGAAGCTCTTAACAAGTTGTGGAAACCTGAAAAAGAGCATTGTCATGACAACGAAGGTTTGATAATTTGGCCTAGTTTTTGTTCAAACCACTTTTTTGGATTGTGGTCCATACAATGAATAGCTTGATTATAACATATTTAAGAACTGGTAAACATAGTTGTGTTCTTGTTACATGAATGAGCTGATAACATACAGCCTCTAATGCTTTCATCACCTGCAGATGCTAACCACCCCAAGCAGCTAGTTGGTAACTCTAAGAGCATAGAAAAAGAGGTTGGCGAGAAAGTCCTCCAACTTGAGGATGAGTGCGAGCAAGAGGAAGAGGAAGAGGAGTTGGATGGATATGAATCGCCACACATGGTAAAGAGACATAAATAGATAAGTGCATTCGATAATATAAATTTAGGGAGGAGCGTTTATATGATATCTTGGCCTTGCACTCATAGAGAGGTTATTCAGATCCAATCTCTATGACAAAGTGCATTCTCTGCCACATTATTTGGTAAAATCTCCTACCAACCTCTACTGTTCCAACTTCCTATAGATTTCACTCTGCAGTGGGCGGTGGGAAAGGAGAATTATGCTTGGTTTGGGAATGGTTTTTTACTATTTTTTAAAGAAGTTTTTTAGTAAAAAAAGTTAATTAAAAATCTGCTTTAAGAAGTAAGAAAGCCGTCCCAAATGAAATTAGTATGATTCAAGCTAATTTTTCAATTCAAATGTTAGCGTTATCTTCTGTTTGTTATAATTTTCTCAAGTTATAATTTTTTTTTTTTTAGGTTGATGAAGATGGTGTACTTCCTTGTACTGCCTCTTGTATCCTTGAGTCATTCAACTTGATAGTAACTATGTAGTTATGACCTTAATCATTACCCCTATTCGTGCGAGCCAGTTGTTGGAAAATTGCTGGCATGATCAAGGTTATTTATTGGTCATGCCTAAGCAAATGTGCACACAATTAATGAATGAGGTAACATGCAACATCTCACATGCATGAATCAAATGTAAATTCAGCTTGCTTCTGTCTGGGTGATGGTGAAATATATGGGGATATTTTTAGTAGAATTCAAGTTGGATGGTTGAAGTGAATGAATGCATCGGGCTTGTTGTGTGATAGAAAAGTCCATCTCAAACTTAAGGGAGAATTCATTAAGATGGTTGTGAGACCTGCAATGCTTTATGATGCATAATATTTTCTATTAAAAGAAAAACATAATATTAAATGTTGCAGAGATGAGGATGCTCAGGTAGATGAGTGGCTTTACTCTTAGAGACATGATACATAATGAGCATATACGTGAAAAGGTTGGAGTAGCTCCAATGGAATATAAGATTAGAGAAAGTTGTCTTATATGGTTTGGTCACATTAAACGACGGCCTTCTGATGACCTGATTAGGAAAGCAGATGTATTAGATTTGACTTATGTTAAGAAAGGTGGATTTAGATCTAAAAAGACTTGGTTAGAAATATTTGAAATGACATTTTTTTATTAGATTTAGATGAGAATTTGACTCTTATTTAGATATGATAGGCAATTTCCGAAAATGAAAAAAAGTTAAGAGATCTCCTTTCTTTAAAAATTTCGAACCTGCTTACTGGATTCTATGTGACATGCATTATGAATCATCGATATGAAAGGCTATTTCCTATATGGTATGCAGATGAAATGGGAAATATCATCCCTAATGAATACTTACAGGAGCTTCTTGGTGGATTTACATGTAGCAAAGATGGTAACGGTCAGCAACCTGGTGAGAAGACCAATGGAGTTGGATCAAGTGATGATGAATATCAGATATATGAGCAAGACAGTGATGATGAATATGATTAGCTGTAATTGTATTAAGTGAGTCAATTGCTTGAAGCGTTAGCTTGCTAATGATTAAGCTGCCAAAAGTGGCTATGTTTATATTGTTTTGATTTATATTTATTTTATCTAATTGTAATACTGCTTTTGATGTGATATTTGTATATAGTGTAGACATGATAATTTATTGAAAATGCTTGTCGTTTACTTCAAATTCTGAGGCCAGTGATGTTGAAAAGTGTAATGCTGGTTTGCATTTTATTTGTAGGTAATTTTTTTCCCAACTGTGTTATTTAAAGCGGTAAATTTTTTAAGCATTTTTCATTCCCAATCTTCTAATATTAGTTGTGACTGTAGCTAAAATTAATACAGTTTAGGGTTCGTTTGTGACTTTTTTTTTTGGCTTGTTAAAGTAAATTTTTAGTACAAAAGTTAAAATTTTTATACTACAAAGTTTTTTAAGCAGTAAGAAAGCCATCCCAAATGAGAGGATGACTTTCTTACTGCTTCTTAAAGCCGTTTTTTAATATAAAATTTTAATTTTTTAACAAAAAAAAAGTTACTTTAAAAAGCTGTAAATGCTTAAATCTTGTAATCTTTAGCCCGAATGGGTCTATTTCAGACGTTCTTATCATTTATCAATCAGATTGTAAAAAAAAAATTATATTAGGATATGTTGACCAAATTCTTGGTAATGGCATATCAAGAAGCATACTTAAAATTTTAATTTATTTATATATTCTATAAGATGGTAGTGAGATCCAAAGTGCTTTATGTCTTAGAATATTTGTCATTAAAAGAGAAGCATAAAATTACATGTAACAAAGATGAGGATGACGAAAGTAGCTGAGACTATATTTATAGATATAATACAAAATTATATATTGAAAAGGTTGGAGTAGCTCAAATGGCAAATAAGATTAGAGAGAGAGCCCCTTTATATAATTTTATCATATAAAATATTGACCTTTTAATAATCTGATTAGAAGAATTGATGTATTAGATTTAACATATAAAAAAAAATATAAATAGCCTAAACAAATTTGGTTAAAATGTATTAGAAATAACTTAAATAAAAAATTAACTTTAATAAGATAAAATGAAAAAAATAGGATTCACACCCAATCTCACTTAATGAATTAAGGCTTGGTGCTATTGTACTCTCATTAAAAAATATTCTTCAATAATTAAGCTGCGCATTCCTTCACAAAATACTACTGTTCATCGAACTGATTGGAGTAATCAATAATATCATTTTCTGCGCGTTTTTCGAATATATAAATATCCTGATTAAGCTGCCACGTCAACCAACCCTCTCTGCTTATCTTCCACGTGTCGTGCTCAGATCAGCGTGCCAGCTGGCATATGAAAATAACGCTAGTGCCATTCAAGTGCTGAATTCTTCCAAAGTTGCAGTGAAGCTTTTTCAACGGCCAGCTGTCTCCAGTTAGCAATATTCGAAGAGAATTAATAGGTAAAGAAGTCAACGTGAAAGTCATCATTCATACGTACGTGTGGGTTCTCGGCGTTGCTTGCTCTGCAAGCTGTCTTGGCCAAGACAATTAAGCCTCGGCTTTCGGTCGGGGTAGGTCTGATCCTATCCTCTCTATTACTAAACGGTCAAAGCCTCCATTGATGGACTAATTTAATATCATTAGTACTGTTAATTGTTGATGGTTGAATTCTTCTATTTGTGCGCATTTGTATGGTTGTTGGCCATTTTTTAAGCACTACTTGGAGAAATTTTGACGATATTAATAGTGATGTAATGATAAAATAATTCATGATTATATATTTAGTTATGTAATTTAATGTAGTTAGTTATATAATTTTTGAATTCGGGTTGTCGAAAATTAAGATTTCGTTTAGAATCATTTTTTTTTGTTACTTCTTAAAGTAGCATTTTAGTTAAAAATTTAAAATCTTTATGTTTGAAAGCTATTTAACGAAGCAACAAGAAAGTCATCCCAAACGAAATCTAAATCTTTGAATGAGAATTTTTATTATGTTCTTCTAGAAAAGATTTCTAGTTAGCTCGTTTGGAAGAGATTAATTTTTAGCATTTTTTATTGACTTCAAAAAAAATTGGTGTACATTCTCAAGATTTTGAGCAATTTCAAATTTGACAACTTTTGAGTTATGACTAGTTTAAGCCAATTTAGAATACACGACTTGTTGGACTCAATTTAAATACTCACCGAAAAGATTTTTGATGTACAAAAATTTGAATAAAAAATTAAAATGTAAAAAGCATTAGCTACTTACCATAATGCTAAAGGATTATTTCAAGTGTTGTATGTTAGATCTATCTTGCTTTGGTGACTTCAAATTGGCCAATTTTTCTTCCTCCTAAAAGAATAGATTATTTCTTTTTTCTCCAAATGCTTAGTTCTCCTTTTTTTTTTTTAAGAAAGAAACTATGATAGATCACCTCTCATCATCTATTGACTCAAGGTCGTTAGGTCATCTTTATTTTTGTAAAACAAATGGAACTATCTATAACCATGCCTTCAAATCTACACCAACTTCTTTAAACTCCTTTCACCGTCATCACAATATGAGCCGCAGGGGCGGAACCAACCTTACTTTTCATGTGCAGCAAATTTATAAGTAAAAGTGTAGCATATTTTTTTTACATAAATATCTTTACAATCAAAATTTTTTTCTGAGGGCGCTTCCTCTTGACCCTTATTTGTTCATCATTGTACTTTTCGCAGATATGGCAGGAGTCCAAGGAGGCAGCGCCCTCTGGCGTGGTTCGTCCTATTTTGTTTGTAAGAATATTTTTGGATTATCTTTATTATTTCTCTTTATATTTGGTTCATCTTTCCCCAACAATAACATCTATACATAACGTATTTAATTATGTTGGGGCAATTGCCTAAAGATCATGTTACTTCAAAACTGCAATTGCCCATCCTGGACTTACCATGATATGAGGCACTCTAATCATAACTTAGATTTTTTATATTAGATTAACTAACATATATCTTCATTGATTTCAAGCAAAGACAAATCTTTATAATCTAAAATTACAACAGATGAAAACAATTTGATGTAGTTGCTGTTTCCTATTTTCCTCTTCTTTCTCGATCTGTTCCATTCTTCAGCACATCAAGGTTTAATCTCTCATTATTACATAAGAACTAATTATGAAAATAGATTAAAAGTTGACAAAATCGTATGATTTGCAGTCCCCCCGTCATCTCCTCTTTAAGAAACGAGCAAGTGTCACAAGAAGCAGACCTGTAGCTCTAAACTAGTGTCCTTATTCACCACCGCCCATGGCTGCCAGCCAATTCACAACCAACCCGCTTATCTCTTTTGAGCAGTAGACTCCTTCATCTTCCAACTAATCATGTCATTTAGCACATTCTTCATAATTAATCAACTTACACAAATCATGTAATATGTACGCCAATAATTAGTCGCACAAATCGATATCAATAATAATGTCTGAAAACTACAGCTGCCATCCTTAGCCATAAGCTTCTTCCCATTATTTCTCCCCCATATCTTCTATAAATACTCCATTCCCCATTCCATCATTCCTCACAGTAGCTTCTGCTTTCCTCTCTTACCCAATTCATGGCCTCCTCTGTGTCTCCTCTCTCCCCTTCATTCTTCTCCCTTCTTCTTATACTAATATCTACCTCCTTCGCCGCCGCCGGCAACTTCAACAATGACGTTGATATCATATGGGGCGACGGCCGTGGAAAGATAGTCAATAACGGCCAGCTCCTCACTCTGTCTCTTGATAAGTCCTCTGGCTCCGGCTTCCAGTCTAAGAACCAGTTTCTCTTCGGCAGAATAGATATGCAGATCAAGCTAGTTTCAGGGAATTCGGCAGGCACTGTCACAGCCTACTATGTAAGTTTCTTCAGCACTTTCAGTTCTTGTTTTACTATTGTTGTTAATTTGTGTGTTGATATGGTTGTAGTTATCGTCGCAAGGAGCAGCGCATGATGAGATAGATTTTGAGTTCCTCGGAAACCTCACCGGCGATCCTTATATAGTGCACACCAACGTTTACACGCAGGGGAAGGGGAACAGAGAGATGCAGTTCTACCTCTGGTTTGATCCCACCAAAGACTTCCACACCTATTCCATCCTTTGGAATCCCAGCCACATTGTGTAAGAAAAAACAGAGCTTGCAATTTGAAATGATTTCTCAATCTCTGAAAAAGTTTAAGTTTTTGATATCAAATCCACTGCAGATTCTACGTGGATGGAACTCCCATTAGAGAATTCAAGAATCTCGCGGCGACCAAAGGGGTTCCTTACCCGAACAATCAGGCCATGAGACTGTACTCAAGTCTCTGGGATGCGGAGGACTGGGCAACAAGAGGAGGGCTAGTGAAGACTGATTGGAATCAAGCTCCGTTCATGGCAGGATTCAGGAACTTGAACGCCGACGGCTGCGTTCAAGGTCCTCTCGCTTCTTCTTCTTCTTGCGGCTCAAAGGCATGGATGAATCAAGCACTGGATGCAGAGAGCTTGAAGAAGATGAAATGGGTGCAGAGCAATTATATGGTTTATAACTATTGCAGTGATGTGAAGAGGTTTCCGCAGGGACTTCCTCCTGAGTGCTCTGCAAAGTAGATGGAGAAGAAATATAGTTCATATGGTGTTGATTGGAGTTTGTGAATAGTAAAGGTTATTGTTTTGATGGGAAGTCAATAAGCTTCTGTGTTTAGTTTGTTAATGAAGAATTGCTCGTTTGTGACTCGAAGCTTCTTCTTGGTACTTCGAAAGTTAAAAGGTGGCCTCATGTTTATCCTAATCAAAATTTGAAAAATTCTATCAACAGAAAACACAACAACCACTGCTACAGTGGCTTCTTCTCCACCTCCGGCAACTGCTCTGCTCTGTATTTGCTTTGATATTTTGCAGGTTGCATAATGAAGTTCTTCAAATTCGAATAGAATTTGCAATTATGGCTTCGTTTGATTCGGTTTATGCATACATAAAAAGGAGTTTTAGAAAAGGAGGTTGAGAAAAAACCCTTCAATAAAATGGATTTCAATAATGAGATATGTTTGAGTAATATTTTTAAAAGTGATTATTAATACTTGAAAGTAAATTTAAATTGTTTGTTTAGTAGTTCTGCTTTTGAGATTTTATTATAAAAGACATAATTGCCCATGAAATTTATGTACACGTAATTAATATATATATATAAATCTTTCTAAGAAAAATTTAATTATCTACTAATTTATAATCTCAAAAGTTTTCATTTTTAACTCATAATTTTTTAACATACAACATAATTTTTACTGCAAATAAGATAAAATTTAAATCATATTAATTTATTATTATACTTACAATTAATTCTTCTATAAAAAAACTCAACTTAAACAAAAAAAAAATTTAATGTTGGAAAATTAATTTATTTTCTTATCAAATAATAGATTTACGACGGGGTCATGCCGGTAGGGCTTGATCCGACATTTTACTTTTGAAACTCCGTTTTGTGACGGAATAAGCAGAAACAAAAAAAATTTTGCAACCACTGAAAAAATGGAGTTTGGCGAAAAGGAATTATGGTTAAGCTTTTATTCCAAATAGTTAGGGTAACTAGTTTCTGCTTATTTAGATGGAGAAAGGAGAAAATAAGCCTAGTCAAACGAGGCCTATATCTTCTTAGAATATATTGATTTTTTATAATACGTATAAACAATAAAGTGATTAATTGAATCTGAATATAAAAACCAGCTTAAACAAGGTTGAAACTTACAGTGTAGATTATGAAAAATCAAATTTCACATTTAATAAATTGCAGAGAACTATTTTTCACATTCAGCCTTTTTACATTTTTTTTTATGTATAAACCGTTATTTAATGGTATTAACGTTAAGGTATAGGTTTTAGTGTGATATTTATTTGGATATTGCAATTTAATGATCCTATGAAAATCTATTTATGTTTAAGCAATTACTACAATTCTTCTTAAATTAATTTTACATGTACATTTAATTAATTTGTGCTATTCGCGTGCAAACACTTTCTTTTTTTTTTTTTTTTAGTTTACTTTATTGAACATTGGTAGTGCTTTCTGGCATGCTTAGTGCAAGCTCCAACTATGATTAGATGTTACTAAATGAGATGTTTGATCTTCACCATCTTAGAGTATGACTAATTAATGAGTATGATCTTTTTAGAATAGAAAAATTTAGGCTTCGTTTGCGGTGGTATTTTTAACGTTTCTTAAAACAAATTTTTAGTACCAAAATTTTAATTTTGGTACAAAAAAATTGCTTTAAGAAACAGTAAGAAAGTCGGTTTCGTTTGGAATAGCCTTTTTATTAACTTTTTAAAGAAGATTTCTAGTGCAAAAATTTCTATTTTAAAAGAATTTTTGTACTAAAATTTTATTTTAGAAAACAGTAAAAAAACTATCTCAAATGAAGCCTTGACGTCTCGTCAAGGATCATCGTTTAAAGGAGCTGCATAAATTTTTCAATTTATAGTTCAAATTTTTAATCAACAAATCAAGATGAGATACATGAATTTGATAGGGTAGAAAGAAGGAGAAATTATTACGTGTGGAGTCCATGAGAACCGTTCGAATTTACTATGTATTTATAAATACTCAATTATTATAAGTATTACTGAGTATTTTGTAAATATTTATTGATTTATTATGTATTTATTAAATATTTATAAATACTTAATAAATGGACACGCGGCAATCAGTGGTTAGTAAGTGACGTGGCAGATCGAAAGAGCGTGGTTAAATGGGTGGGTATGCAGCATATCATGTTATTTTCCAGCTGTCCTCCAAGAAAAATTGACAAAGGTCAACGCGGCTGTCTCCATCAAGTCATCCACACTTGACATTTTAGGTGTTAAAAGCATTTTCTTAACGTTAAATTGTAATTTTAATGGTTTAGTTTGATGAAATTGAAGATAATATATTTTTAATGATTTTATAATAAATATTTTATTAATGTAATCAATAAGTAATTAAATTTATTTTCGGATGGTGATTAGAGTTTGTGATTAGTATTAGTTATTATTTTAATGGTAGTCAAAGCATTGGTGTTTGGTCTGTTAATGAATATTATTTTGTTTGTAAATAGTCATAATTGCTTAATGCTTCGTGATTATATTTTAATCAATTATTTAGTTTCTTTTTTAATTAATTTTTTTGGTACATTGTTTGACTTGTGTGATATCCTTATAAGCATATCACAATAATTTTGAAAATATTTGATATATTGAGAATGATATATGTAATTACTTGAAAAGGAATGGTATGATTCATTGAAATATAATATGATTGATTCTTGTTGTATGATTGGACTTTTTAAGTTTATTTTATATTTAATTTTTTATAAAGGTCTTAGAAAAGATAAATAGCCTATTAAGAGATAATATCATGAGAAAAAAATCCTTCCCTAAGTTGTGATTTTGAGAGTAGAAAAATGTTTAAAATTATGACTATTATTAATTCATGACCAATAACAATATTAGCGATTATTTTCACCCATAGTATGCAAATGATGTTTGATTTAAAGCTAAGGCAATTTTATGTGACCACAATATTAGAATTAAAGTCCTTTTTAGCCCACCTAAGCTCATATAAAGGTTTTGTGATTGTAAGTGGTATTGATATCCCTTATAGTTGATATTTATATGTTCAACACAATCATCAGAAGGAAATGAGATTGATTCTTGAGATTGGTGCCACTTTGATCTTGTGGATATAATGACAACTTCTTATGGGATTAACTTCATAATAGATATTGACGGATAATCGGTTTTACGCCTAATTAGATACATTGAATAGTTTGATGCTTAAATGTTTGTTTTGTTTAAAATAAATTAAGCTTTAATGGTGGTGGTCATCATTATATAATGACATGTGACAATTATGTAATTGCATAGTTTAAGTAACACAAGCCACATCCTTATTAGCATAGAAGTTAATCTTTTAGTGTTTTATAATCATTCCAAGTTATTTTATGTTGTGCATAAACTATTTGAAATTTTGGTTATAATTTATAAATGTCGAAAAATTAACATTCGAATGAAAAGATTGGCTAGACCTCTACATGCTAGTAGACTAGACCTTGATAGAGTAGTTGAGCTAAACCCGTACAAGTTAGTTGAATGAATACATATGAGAGTTAAATTCATCAAATTTGGGAATGAGGGTAATAAATATGGCTTTAACTTGTCGAATGAACTTAAATTGGAGAAGTTATGCACCGCTTTATTGAATGAATTTCCTACATTACCCTATGACAATTGTCTTGGCTACAAAAATATCATCCTTAATAAGTTCAATAATAGTGTCAATTTTCAAGAAAAAATGTTAAGATCGCAATCTTACCTATCAATATGTTAGATCATGTAGCAATACGAGATTTTCTTATAAAAATTTTTGAAGAAAAAAAAGACCTATTAAGAGAAAATGCCTTGAGTAATGATCAATCTCTTCATATTGCTAAGAATAGGAATAAGGTTGAAATCATCTCTACATTTACTTCTAACATAAGAAAATGAGATAATTTTCACCCATAGTAAGCTAATAATTTTTAGCTCTCTAATTAGTTTAAGAGATCTTAAAATAAGATAAGAACTTGATTTCAAAGTTGAGGTCTTCTTTTATGATAATAGCAATATAATCATAGCTTTTTTTGAGCCCACTTCTAATGTAAAGAGCTAGGTTGTTGATTATAGTTTTGATATTACTTCTAGGAGAGTTATATTTTTAAGATAATCATCAAATGAATTTGAAACTGATTCTCGAGGTTGGTGTCATTTTTGTCTTATATATAAAATGAAAACTCTCCGTGGGGGTTGGCTTTATAATAGGCCTTGACGAATGATAGGATTTACACCTAATTAGGTATATTGAGTAAATCATTGACTGAAATATGTGATTATTGAGTAAATTAGAATTTGATAGTGGTCATCATATAATGATCTAAGTTAAATAACCCATGTCACATTCTCAATAACATATAAATCAATCTCTTAGTAAATTTATTATATTAACTTGCAACTAAATTGCTTTAAAGATCTTTGATCTATTTATTTAGATGTCCTAAATATGTATGAGATAATATGTAGATTGATAATTGATTTTTTATATATTGCTTATAGTGGTCTTGGTGAAGGGTTGAATTAGTCATTAACACCCTATATTAGGGATTGATTTTATTTTAATTAAAATATAATAATTAATGATTATCATCCTATATTAGGTTTAGACTTGGTGCAATCATTATCATTTCTAGTTAGAAATATATATTTAGAGGTCCAACACTTGGTAATTGGGAACTTATCTCATTCTTCGATAGATACTTAGCCGATCTAAAGAAAAATAGATACAATACCTCATGGTAGCTTAACTCTCAAAGCTAGATCACTCTAGTTTATTTTATGTACAACATTTGAATGTTACTATGCATAAATTATTTTGTGCGGTCACCGGACAGTCCGGAGGAGAATCAGAATGTGCCACATCATCCAGTACATAACAGTACATTCTCATTCATCTCCAAGACTGCACAAAATAATTTCGCGTTACACTCATTTATTTCATATTACCTTTGACCCACGTTACAATGCAAATAATTAAAAGGAACAACAAAACCAACAAAGAATCAAAGAATAACCCATCTGTCCTTTTCATGCCGCCACGGAACACTCTGGAGGAAGTCCCTGCGGGAATCGCTTGCGATCAGCACAATAGTTATATATCATGCAGTTCCTCTGCACCCATCTCATTCTCCTCCGGCTCTCCAAATCCATCTTGTACAACATCCAAGCTCCTCCGCTACCACCGCCGCCGGCCATCTTTCTCGATGGGCACCTCGACTTTCCGGCGACGAAGACGCAGGCGTCAGCTTTGAAGTTGCGGTATGAAGCAATGAAGGGAGCGTGAGACCAGTTTGTCTTGATAAGGCCGCCTCTTGTAGCCCAGTCGTCAGCGTTCCATAGGCTCGAGTAGATTCTCATGGGCTGGGTCTTAGGGAATGGTACGCCGGTTCTTTCCAGATTGTTGAATACTCTGATGGGCGTTCCGTCAACCATGAATCTGTTTATATGTATAAAGATCAAAATTTTATTAGAACTTGCGGCAGCGTTCCATAAACCATTTCATTGGGAGAAAAAGTTTGTAAAAACTGACATAATGTGTCTGGAATTCCAGAGAACAGAGTATGTATGGAAATCTCGCGTTGGATCGAACCAGAGACGGAACTGGATCTCTCTATTTCCTTTTCCCTGGGTAAACACGTTAGTATGCAGAGTATAAGGATCGCCGCTCAGATTCCCTAAGAATTCGAAATCAATCTCGTCATGAGTCGGGCCCTGAGATGATAACTGAAAAGAAAGAAACAGAGCATGGCAGTTCAGTCTTTAAAATCTCATCTTTCCTTATAAAAATCTCATCTTTCTTACATAGTAGGCAGTGACAGTGCCGGCGGAGTCGCCGGCAACGAGTTTGATCTGCATATCTATTTTGCCGAAGAGGTACTGATGCCTCGACTGGAAGCCGGAGCCCGACGTCTTGTCAAGCGAAAGAGTGAGTAGCTGGCCACTGTTGAGAATCTTGGCGCGGTTATCTCCCCATGTAATATCAAAGTCTCTGTAAAGGTTCCTGGACGAAACAATGGAGAAAAGAGAGGAACAGAACAGGTAGAGAAAAAGAAGCATTGCTCTTGCGTTGGCCATGAAGGAGGAGAAATAAAGCTGGTAGCTTTGGCTGAGTTCATGAGAAATGAGAAGTGGGAGCTGGTATTTATAGATGGTGAAGGCTTCCTGTGATCTCTTATGGTATGCTCTGTAGTGAGCTGGCGACAGTGGTGAGACCGAGAAGAAGGGGCAATCGAAGCAACGCGGAGAGCTTCTTCTTCGATCAGAGAAGTAAATTAGTGGAGCTAAAGTTGCAGAGGATCACGTGATGATGGGGAGTGGACTTTGAAATTTAAAAGTTTTTGGAATCAGGAGTTGCCCGTCCAGATTGGACCCTTGTAATTGCAGGTCACGGGAAGCTTTGGTTGATTGATTAATGGCTATGCATCCTAAGTTTTTTGTGATTCTGAATAGCTTAGCGTTTGCTTGGTCGTGAAAGTTTGCTGGTCAGTGGTCTCTCACCTTTAGGATGCTTCTTAGTATTAACTATAAAGAGAACTACGAAAGGCATCGAAAGTGTTTGCAGAAAAAAGGGATTACTACTGCACAATCAAATAAAAGCCGAACAATTCAATTCATAATATATTTAAATAATTTAATCTAATATAAAAAAATTTATTAAATATTAAATTAATTTAAATATAACATATATTTTATTTAATAATAACCAAAATTTTAAAATTATTATATATCAAGCACTAATAAATCATGAACACATGGTTCCACTACACAATGTAGGTAACTCATAAATACAAGAAAATATATATAAACAATACAATACAAATCTCCAAAGTAATATGGGATTAAATAACGAGTTTGATGGAATGCTTCTATAAAGATTTTTTAGAAAACTTTATACATAGTATTCAAATAAAAAATGATTATAATAAATTTTAAAGATCTTAAATGTATAATTATTTGTATATTATATTTATCTTAAAATAAATTCAAAAAACTTTAAGATCTATTTTCAATATAATTTTGATTATAATATACTAATAAACTTTTTTACCTAACTTTTCATTAAATATGAAATTAAATTACAATAAGAAAATTGAAAATTTTAAAATAAATAATTCAGTATGACTTAATAAATATAATTTTATAATGCGAATTATATATATATATATGCAATTATTTATAATAAATTTATATATTTATAGATAAACTAAATCTTTATTAAATATGAATTAAAATTAAAGATTGGAGATATTTGCATTTAAATTTAAAATTAGTAATATTTATTTTTAAATATATAATATAAAATAATAGTTATTTAAATTTTAAATTAAAATTCATGTTGTGAAAATCGGACAGGACAACGAACATGAAGAAGGGAGAGATTCACGATTCGATTGATTCGACTGGTCGAACCGAATGAAGTAAAAAATAATAATATTATAAAATTTAATAAAATTAACAAAAAAATGATGTTGTCATTACAAGTATGAGATAAAAAATGAAATAAAAATTTATGACACATAAAACTCATGTAATTAATTGAAATTTTATTTTTAAAATCTTACATGAGCAAAAAATCTTTAATATCATAATTCTAAGAATTTACACTCATAATAATATGATAATTTTAAATTTAAATATTTTTCAATTTTGAAATTTTAATTTCAATCTAAATTTAATTTATATATAACCATATAATTTAATATAAATTCTTACTTATTTATGTTATATATTTAATATAATTTAATTCAAAACGGCTTGGTCATATCAAGGGGGATTGTGGTAATTTTTCGCTTCTTTGAATGTGCATAAAATCTCGTGAGAATGTGGTGAAGCCTGTTGATGTTGCGAAATAATTGGTGTTGTGCAATTCCTTGGTCATTATGAGGCGCAGGTTGCAGAATGCGATCTTCCCGATCTTGGGATTGCCGCTGCCTGTTGTGCGAAATTCTAGATTTTGGACGTCTTTGGTCATTCTACCCATCCGTTTTTGAATTGGTTGATGGTAATGCTCTGTGATGATGTGCCTAGTAGTCGGTGTTGGTAACTATGTTCTGTCTTATCCCCCGATGCCAGCTCCTTTTGTACCTCCGGTTATGACTGATGTTAGTGACCATGGTTCTCCGGTGGTGCCTGCGGAGGTGAGTTTTATTGTGCAGATGAATGGTGGTGTAGTTTCTGATGCTCGCCAGTATGGGTGTTGTGAATTCTAATGGGGTGTCTCAAGATTTTAAAGATGCAAATGGGTGGTCTGATAGTGTTATGCCTGTTGCGTGTGCCGGCTAAATTGAGAAGGGAAAGAGGAGTTAATTTGTATTAACCAAAGTTTAGTTTGGTCCCTGTAAAGGGGTGTTCCCAAGTGATGGCCAATTGTGTGGGTTAATTCTTCTGGTTTGGATATTAGGAATCAGACATAAGTTGATTGATTCGTCGGATGTGGAGTCGGATTTGCAGTCTGTTGAGTCCGACAATGATTTTACTTCTGTGCGTACTTCAAAATGGTGGCTCCCGCGAAAAATTTTGGGGAGAGGTCGACGCAGGAAGATGATTTTTCGTTTCGTACTGTTTGGTTGATTCTATTGCTGTTTCTTCTCGGGATTTGGCCGGATTTACTGTTTGATTTGCATCGCTACGTGAGGCTACTTGGGCATAATGATGTGGTATGAGGGCCGCGTCATTGTCCTTCTGTTGCTGGTCGGCAACCGTAGGTTGTGCTTCTCGGGGGGCTTTCTTCCGCTTTTGGACGGTTCCGATGCGGGACGCACCTGGACCACTGAAGCTTCTGTCTTGTTCTGAGCATCGCTTTTATTTTCAATTCTCTCTTGTTGTTTATTTATTTATCTGCTGCTTCTTCTTTTATGCTGATGAACCTTTATTTTTGTGTCACTTAATATATTTCTGTTGTAAAAAATGATAAATAATTTTGACATAAATAATTTTTAAATATTTATAAATTTGTTATATAACACAGATATATAAATATAAATATGGGAATGTTAAATACATTAAAATAATTTGAAATTAAATCTCATAACTTATATT